CAAACGATAGTAGTCCTAGTTCCTATCTGAGAGCCTCCGAAATTATAGGTCCATTTAATATACAAGCTTAAATACTACACCTTTTGTTTTTTGCCCATATTTATAATTTTAGATAAAACATTAACGATTAAGATACTTACCCTCAAACAGACAAAACATTTCGTTGGTAAAACTTCTACCCAACACAATAAGTGGAATAAAATGGACATAAACCGGCAACATGAAAAAGGTATAACACACCACAACATCACATGGACAGATTTACGCTCGTTGGGCACCATATATACCTCACCAACGACAACCTACCTTTCCTAAGATAATGTGATGAACTTATATCCATAATGTTGCTGAGCAGTTAATATTCTCAACTCCTGTCGGAACAGCTGAATTTCATAGACCTTCCTCACGCCAAGAAAATACCCACAAGCAGTAGAAATCCATTAATTAATGCATCTACAGCTTACGTATTTTACTCCCAACAATGACATTGCAGATCAAATGAGATAAACATATCACCGATTTCAAAATAACACATCAACGAACTGTAATTCAAGGATTCTGCACACAACAAAGTTATGTATGAAAATTAGCTTCAAGCTTTATTTTTTTCCAGGCACTTATAACCCATCCACCAAAGACCCGGTTTTTTGTTAATGCGAAGGCAATACTTCTGTATTTCTAACAGTGCACAGAAATCCAATATCGTTTTTACGAGCTAGTATAAACCAATTTGATTTCTTTGTGCTCGCTTCTTGATTGTAAGGTATAGGTTCCTGATCTTCGGTAAACTTCTGCGTAGCTTGTCCCACCACTCGACTGTCGTAGCTTCGGTTGACTCCAAAGGGAGTAGTGCTGGGATTACTGGTTTGTAGTATGAGGTATGTTAAGACTGTTACTACTGTGATTGGAGTTGATCCTTTCGCCAGTTAGTCCTTCGGTATCGTCGACAAGAGAAAAGAGGTAATAATAATAATAATGGATATAATTAGTGAAGTTATTCAGACTAAGAGACAGAAACGGAAATAGAAAAGCGTAACAACAGTCAGCTCATTAAGTTTGAATAATAATAATAATTTTATTTCTGTAACAGAAACCAGCCATTTTTACAGGCATGAACATACGTACACTTATCAAGACTTATAGAATATATAATATGATTTGTTAATTTAGAAATAAGTTAAATACTGGTAAATGTGAGAGAAACATTTAAAATGAAGTGTACAAATAAGGAAATAGATATAGCGTCAAATCTAAACTCTGATTGAAAAAAATACAAGTCAATTTCACGCGGGAATCATAAATGATTGCGTTAGTTGGGAAGGTAAGTAGCGTTTCTGTACAGGTGCTGACGTGATACATAAGAGATGCAGAATAAACAATAATTATCAGTAAATCATTCAGAAAGATTTTTAAGTCTATTAAACTTTAAATTCACCTGTAGGTACATCATATTTGTGACATTTCCAGTTGTTTATGAGACCCACTTTGAACTTGTCAGCAGATTTTATAATACCGATGATCCCGTTATTCACCAGATGAGCTAGCAATATCACGAATAAGTAGAGAATTGCAGTGCTGTATCAGTACCTTCGTTGAAAGCAGTATCTTTGAAAAGAGAAGAAGACACAAGAAAACTAGCGGACAGGTGCAGAAGTATATAATATATAATAATATATATCGGTAATAATAATAACAATAATAATAATAGTAATTGTAATATTAATAAGTTGTCAGGAGAGTAAGACGGGAGAGAATGTAAAGAAGTAAAGCGACGAGTTTAATTGTCTACCCCTGAATGGTGTATGCGATTTTAAGGAGATAGGCCATTCGGATGCGGTCCTTGTGTCGCTGCATGGTTGTCCAGCCTTCGCTTAAAGGCGTCCAAAGACGGTGCCATAGCTACATCTGCCGGTAAGGACTTCCAGGGACGGCAAACCCGCAGTGAAAAGAAGTGGGAGCGCACCCGGGTCCTTGCCCTCTGGTGAGCTATCCTTCTGGGATTTCCAAGTGGGAGCCGATACCCACTCAATGGCACGACACCTTTGTTTGGGTGATTCTGGTCATTTGTAGGCAGTAATCAAATCCCCCCTAAGCCGATGGTAGCTTAGTGTGAACAGGCCTAATTTCTTCAGCCTTTCATCACATGGTTTGTTTCGGAGACCAACCACTCCTTTTGTTGCCCGTCGTTGGACTCTTTCCAAGAGGTTGGCGTCTCTTCTCAGCATTGGAGGTGCAATAATGTTATGCATCTCAAGGTGTGGCTCGACGTATGTTTTTTACAACCTTAGAAGGAGCTCAGGAGTGAGTGCATCTGTCTATGCGTAAAGTGTATGACCCCATATGCCCTCGCTACATCCCCTTTGTAATTTACCCTTGTGTCCATTTTTTCCGTTAGAACTAGACCTAAGTCGCGTTCCGACGTTGTGCAGGACAAGCTTTCATTGCACAGAGTGTAAATTGAATTCTGCAGCCTACAGGTGCGCGACTTCACTACTTTGCACTATTTCAAGTGCAATGCTGAGAAATAATCGTATATTAGCAAAAAAAGTGTTGTATACTAATGGGATTAACATTTATCGAGTGTATGTATAATCTCCAGCGTACATAATAATAATAATATATATTCTCATATTTTACATGAAGGACGCCAGTTTACAGGGATCATCAATTCGATAAGTTACACACAAGATTAATAAGCATATTTAGTAAAGATAATATAATAAGGTACGTTTTATTTCCTAGCTATGTAGGATACACCAATTGTATAGGCATGTATAAATATTGTTTTAATAATAATATATTTGTCCCTGTTTATGCAGGAACATACCGATTGCACAGGCATGGATAAGTTATTATATAAATTACACATAATTTGATGTATGATGAATTTACAGTTTGGTTGTTCTTTCTGATATTAGGGTCAGTCGGAGCAGTCTGCTATAAAGTCTGTTTGTGTAGCACATAAAGAGATATAGAAATATTGTCTTCGCATTAACAAAAACCCAAACATCACTTGAATGTAATACAGATATCTGGGAAAAATAAAGCTTGAAGTCAATTCTCCTATATAACTTTGTTGTGAACAGCACACTTTGCTTAAAGATTATTGATGTATTATGTCGAGATCAGTGATATATTTGTTCCATTTTTCAACAGTCTTATCGTAGTTTCATAACAGGAAACAAATTTGATCGTGGAGGCGAAATCTTGATAAAGTCATGCTATGTTGTTTTACTGCATCAAGTGGCGCCGAGGTCATTTCCAGAATTCTCCAATTGCGCCATTTGTGTCTGCATGGCGGACTGTATTCGTAAGTTGAGTAAAATGTTGAAAAACTGTTTGAAAACCATATGATATGAGCAATAAATTGTGCTCGAAACGTCATCAGTTCATATAACTGTAAACACTGTGCGATTTATCAAAATAAAAATCTTATCTATAATGTTTGAAAACCAGTTGCTTCTTCACTTCAGATCATGAATACTCATTTACATCGTGTTCACCAGCTTCTTTAAATGGTAGAATTGGATCGTTCCTGGAATTTGAGTGATTATGGGATAAATGGTTTGGAATTAATCATAGCAGTTAGATTACAGCTAAACATGCAGAGAAATACTTTTGATTCAGCACCCGGTGAATTTTTTATTCATTTCGATCTGGTACCAGAATAACCGCGAACCATTCCATTCAATATGTCGAATAAGGAATGCAGGGGCAAATCACTACCATCGAATGAATCAACTTGATCTGAGATGCAGCTTTCAGCATGTTTTCGTTATATCATAGATATCCAGGTTTATTGGCGCTGTATAGGCAGTGATTTGAATTATGACGTATTACACAGAGAGTCTCCGTGTCCATGTGAAGTATACATAAGCTTTGCATGGATTAATTTGTAGGCTCCTACCTGCACTGAGTGTTTATAACAGCAGCTGTGGGTTAATGTATTTCCTCGCCTTTTTGGATAAAACATCGCCGCATTCTTTTTGGGAAGGAGACCAGTTGGTGGATTATAAATGATGTCCAAGTAACTTTTATCTTTCCATGTGGTGTTGCGGTAAGTTTCTACCTTGTTTTCTCATATTTCATTCGTATGTTGATTATGGTTCGCCCTTTGTATCAGGTAGACATAGTTTGATCGACTCTTGATTTAATGGGTGTTATTGTCATGACTGCTGCTTTTTTGTCTGGAATTATAAATAGAGACAAAACAAACAACAGGTGTAGTCTCTGAGTTCATACATTAAATGAGCCTATGATTTCTGAAACTCTTACATGGGAATTAGCAGTGGTATCAATTACAAACTCACTTAGTGTGTCATTACAGGAAGAAATATATTATTATTATTATGTGCCTATTGAAAGGAGGCCAATGTGCTTGCTAGTCGCATTTTTTCAGATAGTTTGTTCCACATTTGGGGATACCTAATCAAGAAAAGCTTTCGCCTGGTGGCTGTTTTACATGGTTCTATAGCCACTGTACCTTTAGTGTGTCTAGGGTTATATCCTGTGCCTCCTGAGAACCGAGTATAATTAGCGGGGTATACACTGTGTGGTTAAGAAGCTTATAGAAGTGTACCAGATTTAGTCTCAGTCGTCTTAACCATAATGTTTCTAGTCCTAGGATTTCACATCTGGTAGAGTAGTTTGTGCCGTTATCGGTCCCGAGTACTTTTCGCGTGAAGTACCTCTGTACTCCTTCTACTTTCAGTTTGTCTTCTATGTGTGTACTGCTGAATATGAATGAGCAGTAATCTAGGAGTGGGCGCACACATACCTTGTACAGTAGTATTCTGGACTCGTTTCTGTAGAAGTTCCTGAGTAGGAAACCAATAAGCCTTCGTGATTTCGATATTTGATTCGAGATAGGCTCTGAAAATGATAGATTGTGTGAATATTTCAGTCCTAGGTCTAATACAGATTTGAGTCTGGGGATTTTGTGGCCCTGAATTGCTAGGTTGAGGTGAAGATTGGAACAGCCTATGCAGAGCCGCTAAAAAATGGCCCTTCAAAAAGACTGCGGTACAATTATTATTTCTGCCGAGGAAGTTTCTTCTTGCAAAGACGAACTTACACTCGATCTTTCTGGAAGGATGTTGGATAAGAAGGATATATTCGGGTCTTCTGATCCTTTCTTAGCATTTTATCGAGTAAATGAAGACAGAAGTCGGACAGTTGTTTATCGTACCAAAGAGATAAGAAATACATTGAATCCCAACTGGAAACAAATGGTCATACCAATGAGATTTTTATGCAATGGAGATCATGACAGACCAGTGGTTATTGCCTGCATTGACTGGAATAGAAGTGGAAGAGAAAGTTTAATTGGTGAAATCACGACATCTGTGAATGAATTGTTACAAATGTATAATATTGGTGTCTACTCTCTTGATCTTATTAATCCTCGTAAAGCAAAAAGGCATAAACATTATCAGAATTCTGGAACTCTTCATTTGAATTTGGTGAGAGTAGAGAAAATATACAGCTTTTTGGAATACGTACAAGGAGGCACTGAATTGAGCTGTTGTATTGCAATCGATTTTTCAGCAAGTAATGGTAGTCCACAAGTTCCCGGTACACTGCATTACAGTACAATTTCACAACCATCACAATATGCATTAGCTTTACAAGCTGTCGGGGAAATAATCAGTGATTATGACAGTGATAATCTGTTCCCTTCATTTGGATTCGGTGCTTGTATTCCACCGGATAACACAGTTTCACATTGTTTCCCTTTGAATGGACATATGGATGATCCATATTGTGAAGGTATACAAGGTGCTATGGCTGCTTATGCTCATTCTTTGAGAACAGTTAAATTTCATGGGCCAACAAATTTTGCACCAATTATTAATACAGTAGCTAGAAGATTTATTTTCCATTAAACAGTCTTTAGCTCTGAAGTGTCTGAAATTGATTTCCACTGCACGAAACACGAAGAAGATATTTTCACAAGGATAATGTGTAATCCCCATTCAGGATATATGAAGTTTCTTCTTTGTTTTCTCAGGGGAAGGGAAAGAGGCACATGACTATTTCTCACTTTAATGAAATATAAAAAAAGAAAGAAAATAGTCCTGTTGCACATATTGGTTTCTGGCCTCATTCCGTGGGTATCTAGGATCATTTCTCTGCATGAGGTAGTCTGTTTCACTGTTCACATTGTAATTTACAGGGCCATAGTACCCTGTGTTTAGGTTGCTTTGAGGATAGTGCGTGCTAGGTTTTACGTAGTTGTACATTTGCTGACTCATTTCGTGTGAGTACCTAGAAGGACCAGGGGCCAATCTATACCCGTTATGCCGGGGGTTCGAGTATACATTTCCGCTGATATGGTACCTAGTGGTGTCCCGTCTAGTAGCCCATGTATTTTCATTACTGATTATGGGTCCCGTCCTCAGGTTATATATGCCTACATGCATACTACAAACTCGGCTGTTGCGGAAATCGTGGGTATCACTCTGCTGTTTGATCAGCGCGGTGCCCCTTGCATGTCTCCTGGCGTGTGATTTTGTGTGGATAGAGCTATTTTTGGCGTTAGTTCCCACCTTGTGCAGTCTGTCGTCCTCAATTCGTCTACTACTCTTAGTTCGACGAAGAGCACTTCCATTCACGTCTTCCATCTCCTTTATGGGACCTGCCGCAGTGCGTGCGTTCTTTTTTAGGCTTATATGCTGCTTGTTGGGCTTGCCACAAGGGAGGTATATGGATGCATGAGGAGAAACCTTGGTTTTAGGGGACTTCTTTACGATGTTTACAGTGAGATGATCTTGTTTGGCCCTGGAAGCTGTGTGATCTGCCAATATTTTCAATAGCATGTATATCTACTTCATGTTTTTGGTCAGTCGATTTATCAGGATTGTTCTCACGAACTTCGAGACCCATTAAAATGTTACTGCTCCTTTTGGGTTTTCCTTAACTTTCGCGTGTCGTTTGTTCACCTACTACAGTGCAAGTGTCACTTTGTGCTACAGTGTCCTTTGACACTTCGGTACTGACGCTATTCACGATTTGTGGTATAATCGTGTTTGTATCTATGGAATTCTTAGCTACTTGTCGTTGGTTGGGGGTTTTGTCCGGGACTATTTTAAGATTTTTGAATTTTGTAGTGGAAACCAAAATATCCTCAGATTTCCTGAATTGTTCGGCTATAATACAGCTGTCAAACCTGAAAAGTATGGGACATGTGCGGTTTGTCTCTTTTTTTATTTAGTCTAATACACTGACAGAGTGTACTTAGAAGGTTGGCAGCTCTTAACAAGGAGTGCTGAACCGACTTTATGGGCTCTTTGTCAGGTATGTTGTACACTATGGCGTTCTGCTTAGAAGCAAGTCTCTTAACAACTTCGCTCGACAAATAGTCCATAACGTTTTCTAGCTCCTTAGCATGCTCCAATTCAGCATCGGTAGGTTTAGTCCTGAGCTTAAAGAGTTTTAGGAAAGTGAGATCCCCCAGTTCCTTTTGGAGATGGAGGATTGTTTCTGGTACCAGGTCAAGTTGATTTAGTTTCGCCCTGAGTTCATTTATTTGTAACTGCATGTCGTTTATGATGCAGACTAAGTTAGTAATCTCTGCCTTTTCTGACAGGATATCTTCCACCTGCATTAAAGGGGTAAGCATTATGTTGGAACCGTTTGTATTGCGTGAGCTACTAATTGCAACCGATTTAAGGGGTGATAATGCGTTACTCGATAAGCTTAAGCTATTTTCTAAATTACTAGTGTTTCTAAGAACACGCTTTTTATAGCTTTTGCCCATTATTATTGGCATATAGCAGAACACAAAAAATGAATATCAGCGAAAACACGTTATAAAAGAAAAACACAGACAGCATCAGATATCAAGCACACGGGGTGAGGTGAGAAGCAGAACGCGACAGGAAAGTTCAAAAGATGTATATATTTACAACAAAGAGCTAGGCCTTCAGTATTCAGCAGCCACCAGTTTTTGAATTTGCGCCTGCTCTTGAGTTCGAATTACTACACGACCCCCTCGGTTCCAAAAAGCTGTCCCCAGCGACTTCAGTGGTTCGGTCTCCCCGCCTCGAAATCGTCCCTACAAGAGAAAGAGACACATGGTTATTATGGTTATCGAGATAAGGCGGGTTTCTCCTCGGTGCCTGTCTGCTTGGTCTACACGGTTTCAGACGGTTGAAGTGCACTATCATTTTCTGAGGGTTGTTGTTGTCTTCTTGGATTTCGTAGGTATTGTCAGTTACTCTGCGGTACACCACGTATGGGCCTGCCCATTGTGCTTGAGCTTTGCGTCGACTCCAGTTGTCAGTCGCTGGTTGACGTAGCCACACCTTATCACCTATTTTGAATGGTGTTCCCCACTGCTTTCTATCGTAGTAACGTTTCTGTCGTTCTTGTGCTCTCTGGAGTTCTTCGCGTGCATAGCTATGATACCTGGCGACGTCTCCTCGCAACCTTATTACCATTTCCGATGTAGTTAGCGGATCATCCCACCGGGGCATAACCAATGTATCACTAGGCAGGCGTAACTCGCGGCCAGTCCATAACAGGTGTGGTGTCTTTCCCGTAGACATGTGCGTGCTTCCTCGGTAGGCCAACAAGCATCTTGGTAACATGATGTCCCAGGCTGATTCAGCCTCCCTCTCTAAGAATAGGCGTAGTAATGATTTTAGGGTTCGATTGGTACGCTCTACTAACCCATTGCCTTCGGGGTGGTACGCGGTGGTTCTTGACTTTTTAATTCCAAATAGATGGCACAATTCTCTAACCACGATACTTTCGAAGTTGGTTCCTTGGTCAGAGTGCAATTGCTCTGGTGCGCCCCAACGGGCAATCCAACAGTCGAATATAGCTTTGGCTACTATCGGGGCATCAATTCGCTGAAGTGGTACAGCTTCACACCATTTCGTAAAATAATCAACCATAACCAAGATATACTTATTTCCACGTGTGGTTTCACGTAAAGGTCCGATGATGTCGACGCCAATTATTTCGTTAGGATATCCAGCCTTCATATTAGTAAGTGGCGCCCGGGGTTTCCTCTGTGGATTCTTTACTTTGCCACATGTTGCACACCCTTGGACAAAGTCCCGGACGTCGCGCCGTTGGCGAGGCCACCAGTAGCGTTGGGTAACTGCTTGCAACATTTTATTAATTCCAGCGTGTCCCAAATCATAATGTATAGTCTCCAGAATTGCTGTTACAAACGACTGAGGGACTACGACTCTTCTCAAGTAGTTGGGGCCGGGTTGAACACACAGGATACCATTCACTAGTACTAACTGATCCCATAAGGCCCACAAACATCTGGTTTCCCAGCTCTTCCCTTTCACATCAGCTTCAACTGGCCTACCAGTCTGATTCGACAGGGCATGATAAAGGAGTGCAGTCTCATCGTCAGTAGCTTGGATGTGTGCCCACTGTTCTCTGCTTAGACCTGCCAACGAAATAGCACAAATATCAATACTCTCGCAAGACGGGCAGTCTCCGTGCGGTCTGAAAGAGCGCCTGGATAGCGCGTCAGCATTGGCATGTTGCTTGCCAGGACGGTGTACACATTCGAAGTCATACTCCTGAAGGTATTCCTGCCATCTTGCTGTCTGTCCTTCAGGGTCTTTGAAATTTTGCAACCACTGAAGAGCTTTGTGATCCGTTCGCAAAACAAACGGTTTACCAAGTAGATAGGGTCGGTACTTACGAACGAAGGTAACAGCGGCCAACATCTCTTTACGGGTGATGCAGTAGTTCTTCTCTGCACGGCTCAGCGTGCGGCTGCCATATTCGATAACATGTTCTTTGCCATCCCCACCGACCTGAGATAACACGGCTCCGATGGATGTGTGACTAGCGTCCGTGTCCAAGATGTATTTACCAGCCGTTGGTGATGTATCTGGGAATGCTAAAATGGGCGCCGAGCATAATGAATCTTTCAGCTGTTGGAAAGCACGGTCACAATCCTCTGTCCATACGAAGGGAATATTTTTCTTAGTCAAACTCGTTAGGGGGCTAGCGATCTCTGAGTAATTTCTCACGAACCGGCGGTAATAAGAGGCCAACCCTAGAAAACTGTGTAACTCATTCACGGATTTAGGTACGGGCCACTCTTTGACTGCTGCAACTTTTTCAGGATCGCTATGAACGCCCTGTGCACTGACAACATGCCCCAAGAAAGTGACTTCGGTTCGGAATAAACGGCATTTAGTGGGTTGAACTTTGAGTCCCACCTCCTTCAAACGTTCCAAGACAATCCGCAGTCGCTCAAGGTGTTCTTCGATGGTGTGACTGAAAATGATAATATCATCTAAATATACGAGGCACACCTGTGGAACTAATCCTTTAAGTACTGTGTGCATCAGTCGTTGAAACGTGGCTGGTGCATTACTTAACCCGAACGGCATGGTCTGGAATTCATATAAACCGGTGGGTATAGTAAAAGCAGTTTTGTGCCGATCACGAGGGTGGACTTCCACCTGCCAATATCCAGAAGCTAAATCAAGGGTGGAAAACCAGACGGCACCTGATAATGCTTCTAACGTCTCATCTATTCTAGGCAATGGGTAAGCATCTCTCCGGGTCACTGCGTTTAATTTTCTGTAATCAACACACAAGCGCAGGGTGCCGTTTTTCTTCTTAACTAACACTATAGGCGAAGCCCACGGTGAGTTCGACGGCGCAATTATTTTCTTCTGTAGCATTTCATCAATCATGCTTTCCAGTTGCGGACGAAACTTAGCTGGGACTCGGCGAGGTGTTTGCCGTATTGGAGCACAACTACCGGTCTCAATAGTATGTTGGATAGCTGTGGTTCTTCCCAGGTCAGCCGGGGACCAAGATACGACCTCCGAAAACTCGGACATTAACCGATGTACCGCCTCTTTGTGGTCTCGCGGGACCTGTGTTAGCATACTTT